GTTTCTGTTCCTTTGCTGACTTCTCCTGCTCTGATCCTGGCTTGTGACCCTGACCATCCCTCTGTCTGACCCTCTGTACTACGCTGCTTGCTACCTGTTCTGATCCCTGGCTTGTGACCCGGACCATCCCTCTGCCTGACCCTCTGTACTATGCTGCTTGCTACCTGCTGAACCTGGCCTGTGACCCCGACCATTCTCCGCTTGCTCCCCCTGTACCTACCTGCCCAATTGATATTGACCCGGCCTGCCTGACGACGCTTGCTTGTATGTACTGTTATCTGTGGGTGGTTTGGTTTGGTTTGTTTGCACTGTATTATGTTTTAGTATTGCACTGCGTTTTTATGTTTGTACTGTTAGTGTTAATAAATTATATTGTTTATAACATATCTGAGGTCTGCGTTTCCCTGCTTCAGTCACACACACCTCTGGTCATACCTGGGAGCCCTGACAGTGACAGACATTAGACACCGCTTGGCGCCTAACATTGTAGATCCACCCAAAACTATTTCATTGTTTTCCAGTTTAAATAGGTTTCATCCCTGTAATAGATGTGTGATCTGTAGATGTAATAGTATAAGAAAACGGAAAATAGATTCCTTCACTTCGAACACCACAGGTAGATCCTACAAAATTAAGAATTTCCTTTCTTGCAATAGTAGGCATGTTGTCTACATGCTCACATGTCCCTCTAATAAGCAATATGTTGGTCGCACAACAAGGAGACAGAGACCGCCTTCACGAACATGTCTACAACATCAAGCAGGGCTTTAAAGAACATTCCCTATCTAAGCATTTCAGACTACATCATAAAAGATACCCTACCTCTCTTAGATTTGTGGAGATAGATATTGTCACCCCGCACTGGAGAGGTATTTACAACAAACGTGCGGTCTTGCAGTTGGAGACCAATTGGGTATATGAACTGGGCATCTTATACCTCATGGGACACAATATAGAGGTGGATCTCAACTGCTTTATTGACAATAAAGCAGTTGAGATCCACCTCTATATTGTGTCCCAAGGCAGACGGCAAACACTTAAAGCTTTATTTAAAACAGACAACAGTCACTCAATGAGGAATAGTGCAGGGAGAGTCCAAAATACTTGTAATCCAGCCCTGGTGGGCAAAATTAAAGGCTCCACAGCAATTTGTAATCCAAGAGGCAGTAAAAAAGCAGTCAGATAGCACAAGGGAAGCATACACTCATGCAAAGCTGATGCGATAGTCTCAGGCAGAGCTGACAGCGTTCCAAGCAGGGCTGATGTAGCTTCTGGGATTCCCCTTCCTCCAATGGAGCTCAGGCAGAGCCGAGGGGCCACTAGAGTCCAGCTGGACCCCTCAATGGTTGCCCAGCAGAATGGCACTACTAAGAGACTAGCACTGGCCTCTTAAACCCCCTGAGCAGGATGAGAGGCAGAGGGGGGTCATTAGCAGGTGACAACGAAGAGAATGGAACTACAGTAATTTAATTTGTGGCTGTACACAGAAAGGACTGGTTGGGCAGGATAATTAGTGGGGGAAATACATTAACACAAAAGTAAGGCACTAATTAGGGATGTATACACTAATTGAATTTAGGACATTTTGTGGAGGGGCGAGTTAATTACAGCTAGGGGCCTTTGGCACACAGGAGTGAATACTAATTGGAGGAAGCTCTTCCTATGGCTAGGAGGGATTAGGAACAAGGAATTAATACCTGGGGATTAATAACTGGGCTGGCAGAGAACTCATATTGTGACACTCCAGATCAGTAAGCAGGAATTGATAAATGGCCGGGCCCATATACCTTGACAATATCTCTATCTATCTATCTATCTATCTCTATCTATCTATCTATATTTATATACATGCTTTGTTGGACGGTCATTTTTATATGGATCTTTTTATCTCCCCGTTTTAATGCCGGCTTTTTTATAAAAATTTTTATTCAATTACTTACTGAATTTGGTTTATATCCATTTCATTTTATTACCTGTACTGCACTCTTGCGATAAAGTGTATCATAATATACACATACTGGGGATGCTTACCTGGTTGTAATATGCTTGAGGTATACACTATCCCTCTAATTAGATGTAATCTAGGTTGATTGGCTTACATAATTTTTCATTCCCACATTCCTTGTGTATGTATGGCACTAATCTCATGCAAAGGGTTAGTGGCTCAAATTTATCATCCTGCATAATGCACTTTATTATTTTAGCCGGTTTCCAGGCTTCTGACAAGAGATAACCCACAGCTGAGTACATTTACTTGGCTGTCATTAAAAAATCCACAGCAAAATGGCGCCGATGCACATGCGCACTAGCCGCCCTTCAGCAAAATGGCGGCGGCGCAGGGCGCATGCGCCGAGGCTATATAAACCCAGCTATACCAGTCATAGGTGTGTTGATTTTCCTCGGAAGACGTGCTTGGCACGAAAGGCCTAAAGAAATCAACACGCTGTGATGTCACGCCGCCAGAGCCACGTGTTGGTCTGGCGGCCATCTTAACTAATGATCAGTGCATCCATTTTTCACTTTACTGTCATTTTCTGGATTTAAATAAATTTATTGATTTGACAATACTACACTATGGGCACTTTTCTTACGTCTTCTTTATGGAGCCTTTAAGCCTGCAGAACCTGTGGAGAGCACGAGTCTGAACCAGTATCCAGAGGAAGGGAATCCCTGTAAACAGGTGGCTGACCCTATCCATCCTAAAGGGGACCTCTGGAGCTAAGCAGACATCAATTGACCGCAGAGCTGCCCATTCCTAGACAGATATTCCATATACACCTACAGTCAGGTCCATAAATATTGGGACATCGACACAATTCTAACATTTTTGGCTCTATACACCACCTGTCAGGAATGGACTGGCCAGCAATAGTGGGACTCACCTGCCTTATGAGCTGCAGTACCAGGGCTGGCCAGCGGGTGCTCCCGGCAATCAGAGACTCAACCTTGCAGCCAGTCAAACACCTGGAACTAATTATACTGGTGTATTTAAGGGACATTCAGACCTGCAGACTCTGCCTTGGTGTGTTTTTCCTGGGCCCTGTGTCTTGTAAACCTGTGTTCCTGTTCCTGTCTTGTTGCTGACCCTGCTTGATTCTGACCTCTGCTGACTTCTCCTGTTCTGATCCCTGGCTTGTGACCCTGACCATCCCTCTGCCTGACCCTCTGTACCACGCTGCCCGCTACCTGCTGAACCTGGCCTGTGACCCCGACCATTCTCCGCTTGCTCCCCCTGTACCTACCTGCCCGATTGATATTGACCCGGCCTGCCTGACGACGCTTGCATTGTATGTACTGTTATCTGTGGGTGGTTGGTTTGGTTTGTTTTCACTGTGTTATGTTTTAGTATTGCACTGCGTTTGTTTGTATTGTTAGTGTTAATAAATTATATTGTTTATAACATATCTGAAGTCTGCGTTTCCCTGCGTCAGTCACATACCTCTGGTCACACCCGGGAGCCCTGACACCACCACAATGGATTTGAAATGAAACGAACAAGATGTGCTTTAACTGCAGACTGTCAGCTTTAATTTGAAGGTATTTACATCCAAATCAGGTGAACGGTGTAGGAATTACAACAGTTTGAATATGTGCCTCCCACTTGTTAAGGGACCAAAAGTAATGGGACAGAATAATAATCATAAATCAAACTTTCACTTTTTAATACTTGGTTGCAAACCCTTTGCAGTCAATTACAGCCTGAAGTCTGGAATGCATAGACATCACCAGACGCTGGGTTTCATCCCTGGTGATGCTCTGCCACTGTCTTCAGTTCCTGCTTGTTCTTGGGGCATTTTCATTTCAAATCCATTGTGGTGGTGTATAAAGCCAAAAAATTTTTAGAATTGTGTCGATTTCCCAATATTTATGGACCTGACTGTACCATACATCACTACCCTAAATTACTGAGGTGGATATTTTAACGTGCATAATCCGCATCTGGTAAATGCGCAATCCTACCATTTTTCCGAAGCATCTTATTATTGATATTGGCATACTCCTGGATTTAGCATATCTTTACAAACGGATCCATATCCAGTTTTTACCGCGATCATATCTTTATTTATCCTAGCGCTGCACTTTATTATTTATTGTACATTTAAGGTTTTATTTGGTTACCTGAGTGTATCAGCTGCTATACAAGAGAGCGCTCACTACCATTATCTTATTACTTTATTGGAAGAATAACCTTTGCTCACCGCCTATGAACTTTCTTGAAGGAATAGGTATTTCCCAAGAGGCCCCGTCTCCACAGTACTGTATATGCGCTCCCCACTGATCCGAACTGTAAACGTCCTTATATGGAGCATTAGGAACGTGATTTAACGTGATTTATGAATTATCAGATTGGCAAGATATTGCTCTGGCACTATCAAAAATTTCTATCAATGCTACCCTAATTGAAGCAAACTATAAAACTTTGTTGAGATGGTATTTGGTCCCTACTTGGATTGCGAGGATGCATCTGTCTGCTTCTGCAATGTGTTTGCCGGCATTATGGCCAGATGGGGGTCTGTGTATCACATCTGGTGGCAATGTTCGAGTGCAACTAGATTTTGGATTTGCATGTTTCCTTTTGTAAATTCAGTGACGAGAATAAATATTCGCAGATCCCCGGAGACGGCGCTCTTTCATAAATTTACAGATAATGTTCCCAAGAAATCCCATAAGTTGATCACCTACATGTTTCATGTTTTTTTATGTTTCTATACCTAGTCATGGGAAACAAAATGGGCCATTCCACTTGATGATAAAAAGAAACTTAACTGGAATATAGTTAATGACAAACTCACCTGTATCCTGCACAATAGTTAAAATGTGATGACACACAGAACCCATGGATTCAATACATCTCTGTGCTTTAACCACCTCCCGCCCGCCATATAGTACGACGGGTGCAAGGCGGTTCTCTCGTTCTGGGAGGACGTCATATGATGTCCTCCCATTCTAACCACGCATGCCCTGCTCCGGGATGCAGCACGGCTATCGGCGGTGCGCTGTGTCCCTCGGATACAACGCATCACCGATCAACGGAAAGAGCCGAAGATCTCGGCTCGGTCATATGATCAGCTGTGTCCAATCACAGCTGATCACATGTAAACAGGGAAATGCAGGTTATCAGCATTTCTCTCCTCACGAGCTGACAGAGAGACAGTAATCGGCATTCCTCGGAGGGGACATGTACACAGATCATCAGAGCACTGATGACCAGTGTGCCCTGATGATCTGTGTAGCCCCAGCAGTGCCACCTGTCAGTGTCCATCAGTGCCAGCTGTCAGTGCTTATACATGCCACCTGCCAGTGCCCATCAGTGCCACATATCAGTGCCCATCTGAGCTGCCTTTCAGTGTCACCCATCAGTGCCCGTCAGTGCCACCTATCAGTGCCAGTCAGTGCCGCCTATCAGTGTGCATCAATGCCGTCTATCAGTGCCCGTCAGTGCCACCTAACAGTGCCATATATGAGTGCTGCCTTTCAGTGCTCATCAGTAGAAGTACCTCCTCATCAGTGCCCATCAGTGCCACCTATCAGTGTCCATCAGTACAGCCTATCAATGTCCATCACTACAGCCTCATTAGCACACATCAGTGAAAGAGAAAAATCACTTATTTACAAACTTTTATAACAAAAACTAAGAAAAAAATGTTTTTTTTTTTCAAAATTTTCAGTGGTTTTTGGTTTAAGAAAAAATAAAAAACCCAGAGGTGATTAAATGCCACCAAAATAAAGCTCTGTCACAAAAAAAATGATAAAAATTTCATATGGGTACAGTGGTGCATGACTGCGCAATTGTCAAAGTGTGACAACGCTGAAAGCTGGAAATTTGCCTGGGCAGGAAGGGGGTATAAGTGCCCTGTAGGCTAGTGGTTAATGTCCCTCATCCAGATCCTCTCTTCCATTCTTTTCTTTGTTTTCTCTATTCCTTTTCCCTTATTCTGCATTGTCCCTTATATTTTGGTTAGGCGAGATATACTTGCGCTCACTCTGGTTGTAATATGTGTTTTGCCTTACATGTGAATTGTTGTCATCGGTGTCTTATATTTGTATGTATGATGGTACACTGTTTATTCGTACTACTTGTTTTTGTAAAACTATTCAATAAAAAAAAAAAACCATTGGAAACTAAAATGTCAGGTTTCTGTGATATAAAATGAGACAAAGATAAATAATTTCAGATCTTTTCCCACCTTTAAATGTGACCTATAAACTTTACAACTCACTGAAATACAAACTTTACAAAACAAACTGAAATATTTTGGGGGGTTTGGCTGCATAAGTGTGCACATCCTCTTATAACTGGGGATGTAGCTGTGTTCAGAATTAAGCAATCACATTTAAAATATTAAATAGGAGTCTGTACACACCTTCCATTATTTAAAGTGACTCTGATTAACCCCAAATAAAGTTCAGCTGTTCTAGTACGTCTTTCCTGACATTTTCTTATTCACATCCTACAGCAAAAGCCAAGGTCCACACAGAGCTTCCAAAACATCAGAGGGATCTCATTGTTAAAAGTCAGGAGAAGGGTACAAAAGAATTTCCAAGGCATTTGATATACCATGGAACACAGTGAAGACAGTCATCAAGTGGAGAAAATATAGCACAACAGTGACATTACCAAGAACTGGAAAGCCCTCCAAAATGAAAACTGGTCTGGGAGGCTGCCAGGAGGCCTACAGCAACATTAGAGGAGTTGCAGGAATATCTGGCAAGTACTGGCTGTGTGGTAGATGTGACAACAATCTCCCGTATACTTCTTATGTCTGGGCTATGGGGTTGCGTGGCAATACAGAAACCTTTTTTTATGAAGAAAAGCATCCAAGCCCGGCTAAATTTTGCAAAAAACACATCTGAAGTCTCCCAAAAGCATGTGGGAAAAGGTGTTATGTCTGATGAAACCAAGGTTGAACTTTTTGGCCATAATTCCAAAAGATATGTTTGGTGCAAAAACAACACTGCACATCACCAAAAGAACACCATGCCCACAGTGAAGCATGGTGGTGGCAGCATCGCGCTTTGGGCTGTATTTCTTCAGCTGGAACTGGGCCCTTAGTCAAGGTGGGAATTATTAACAATTCCAAATACCAGTCAATATTGGTACAAAACCTTCAAGCTTCTGCTAGAAAGCTGAACATGAAGAGGAACTTCATCTTTCAGCATGACGACCCAAAGCATACATCCAAAATCAACAAAGGAATGGCTTCACCAGAAGATTAAAGTTTTGAAATGGCCCAGACCTGAATCCGATCGAAAATCTGTGGGGTGATCTGAAGAGGGCTGTGCACAGGAGATGCCCTCGCAATCTGACAGATTTGGAGTGTTTTTGCAAGGAAGAGTGGGCAAATATTGCCAAGCCAAGATGTGTCATGCTGATAGACTCATACCCAAAAAGACTGAGTGCTGTAATAAAATCAAAAAGGTGTTTCAACAAAGTACTAGTTTAAAGGTGTGCACACTTACGCAACCATATTTTATTTTTTATGTTTAACCCCCCCTCCCCCTAAAAGATTTCAGTTTGTTTATCAATTGATTTGTACGGTTTATAGATCACATTAAAAAGGTGGAAAAAGTTCTGAAATTATTTATCTCCGTTTCATTTTTTGTTACATCACAGAAACCTGACATTTTAACAGGGGTGTGTAAACTTTTTATATTCACTGCACACAATAAGCCTTCCATTGCTAGTATAGTATCTGAACGGATCAACATCTTTGATCAGATCAGCATTATGCCAGCGTTCACAATAGTACAGTGTCCCCACAAATGCAGTGTTAGCAGGATCAGCCCCGCCACCTACGTTTAGTCCCTACACTTACACGAGGATTCTCATATGAAGCAGAGTGCCAGTACTAGTGCAGCTCTACCTTTTGGTGAACTGGTGAGCATTAGTGGCCTAGTACATCCTGGTCTTTTTCATACCAGCACAGCAGTATCACTTGGTGAGGTGGCGAGTCCCATAAGTGCAGTACAAGCTGGTGCAGTGGCTAACACAAGTAGTATCTCACAGCCACCAAGAATTTGAAGACAGACCCTTAGAGCCCATAATGTTCTTCCGGATGTGCTTGCAAATCCTGATTGGCAGCCCACAAATTCTGCAGCATCCACACTTCCCCATTCACTGCCCAACCCGGATATCAGGCGGAATCTGCAAATTTAAATACTCCCCTTTATTGTTTGGAGCTGTTTTTCACGGAAGAGCTGTATGAATTGATTGTGGATCAAAGCAATGTATACAGACACATTTATCACCATCAACCCAAATTCAAACCTTGCCAGACCATTTGCCTATTATGGTTTCCAAATGTAAAGTTTTTTTTTTGGCCTAACCCTCAACACGAGTATTGCTAAAAAATAAAAAATAAAAAAATTATTTTTAAGGGTCTTGCTCTCAGAATATGCATACAGTGACTTGAAAAAGGTATTCATAACCCTTGGAGAGTTCCACATTTTGGTATGTTATAACCAAAAAATGTAAATGTATTTTATTGGGATTTTATGTAATAAACCAACAGAAAGTGGCACATAATTGTCAAGTGGAAGGAAAATTATAAATTGTTTTCAAACTTTTCTTTATAAATAAATATCTGAAAAGTGTGCATTTGTATTCAGCCCCCCTGAGTCAGTGCTTTGTAGAACCACTTTTTGTTGCAATTACATCTGCAAGTCTTTTTTGGGCATATATCTACCAGCTTTGCACATCTAGAGAGAGTGAAATTTTTGCCCATTCTTTGCAAAATAGCTCAAGCTCTGTCAGATGGATGGAGATCGTCGGAGAATCTGTGGCAAGACTTGAAAATTGCTGTTCACAATTGGATTTAGATCTGGACTTTGACTGAGCCATTCTAACACATGAATATGCTTTGATCCAAACCATTCCATTGTAGCTCTGGCTGTATGTTTAGGGTCATTGTCCTGCTGGAAGGCGAACCTCCGCCCCAGTCTCAAGTCTTTTGCAGACTCTAACAGGTTTTCTTCTAAGATTGCCCTATATTTGGCTTCATCCATCTTTCCATCAACTCTGACCAGCTTTCCTGTCCCTGCTGAAGAAAAGCATACCCACAACATGATGCTGCAACCACGTTTCATAGTGGAGATGGTGTGTTCAGGGTGATGTACAGTGTTCGTTTTCCGCCACATATAGTGTTTTGCTTTTAGGCCACAAAGTTCAATTTTGGTCTCTCATCTGACTAGAGCACCTTCTTCCATATATTTGCTGTGTCCCTCACCTATCTTCTTGCAAACTGTAAACGGGACTTCGTGTGGCTTTTTTTCCAACAATGGCTTTCTTCTTGCCATTTTTCATAAAGGCAAGTTTTGTGGAGTGCACGACTAATAGTTGTCCTGTGGACGGATTATCCCACCTGAGCTGTGGATCTCTGCAGCTCCTCCAGAGTTACTATGTGTCTCTTGACTGCTTCTCTGATTAATGCTCTTTTGCCCGGCCTGTCAATTACCTAAATTGACGGCCATGTCTTGGTAGGTTTGCAATTAAGCCATACTCATTCCATTTTCGGATGATGGATTGAACAGTGCTCCGTGAGATGTTCAAAGCTTGGGATATTTGATTGTAACCAAATATTGCTTTAAACTTATCCACAACTTTATCCCTGACCTGTCTGGTGTGCTCCTTGGCCTTCATGATGCTGTTTGTTCACTAAGGTTCTCTAACAAACCACTGGGGGCCTGGGGTGGTCAGTGGCTATATAGCAGAGATGGCAGAGATTTCTTCATCCACATTGATCGATATGAATAGAAGAATCTGTTAGGAATCTGAAAGAACATTTCATTTATGTCCACCACTGGAAGTGGGTGGATGCAGTGCGGCATATTCTAATGGTGGAAATACCACGCACCTTTCTGGTAGAGAGGTCTCCTCTTTTTTTTTTTCCCCATTCAGACCACAGGCTGCATTAAAAAAAAAAAAAAAAAAAAAAAAAAAAAAACAACATATATACCCAACAAGGACCAGCAACATACTGGTACAACACTGGACTTTGGTTATACCAGGATGATGCCTGCAGCTGGTATCGTTTTTTTCCAGCTGGCAATCGGCTTTCATATAATAGCAATCCTAGTGGCTAATTAGCTGCAGGATTGCTTTACAAGCAGCAGCAGGAGGAGATGCCCCCCCCCCCATTCGGAAAATGAAGAAAGAAAACAAACATTTATTTTTTTATTTTAGAAGACCTTGCAACAAAATAAATTATATAGAACAGTGCAGCACTAGAAGTAATGAATAAGATCATAAAATGTCCATAAAGTCTATGAAATGTGCCAGGTAATATCTAGTCAGAAAATGGTGGTGCTCAGTGGGGAATGATAGAAATGCGCACTCACCAAAATTTAAACGGATATGAGCGTTGTATAAAATTCCTCATCAGAGGTCTGGTCAGCATGGGTAATCCTCCCTTCCACGTGGTAACAGGACTTAGTAGAGAT